CCCCAAAACCCCAAAACCCCATAGATCAGAAATAGAGATATATATTAGAGATATAGAAAAAAGTATGAAATAAAATGCATCTTAGTACAAATTATGTATAATTACTCAAAATAATTTAGATGAAGGATTCGGTATCTACAAAGCCTTTTTAATTCTAATTCTATTGTGACTTCTCAACTCTAGTAAAAGGCATTATCCATTCCTTATACATTTATTGCCTCGTATATCATGTTATTTAGGTTTTTAGAAGAATATTTATCATTATTTTCTCCTGAGTTACTGCAAATTTGCTACTAATTAGTCGGTTGTTCAGTCTTAACCATTTACTTATTGCCTTGCATTTATTGGAACTAGGTAGCATTAAGACCTTGAGGTGGTAAATGCATTCCTCCCTTTTTAAGCTCAACCTTCAACCTTTTACCCAGAGCTTACTTTCCATTTATAACTTTAATGGCAAGATTAGCAGCTTATGGTGCGTCATAACTTACGAAACCTATTATTTGTTAGCATTGACTAAATTTTACCAAAGCCTTTACTGCGGCCAGTTTCTTTATCTGTCATTATTCTTACACTAACTATATTTCCTAGCTTAAAGGCATCGAAAAACACATAAAGATCTACATCAGTCCATTCATTAGGAAGATGAAAGATAAACAAATTAGCTCCTGCTGGTCCTTATTTCTAAAATTAATTATAAAAATACAGTCAAAGTTACATATTAACCCTAACCCACTGCGTTATTTGTATTGCTAGGATCTAACTAATCAACATTATTATTTCCATTAATAGCTCCTATTGAATTATCATTTTATGATAACTGCTATCCAAAAATATCATTACAGCTATTCATAGCTTGATCTGTTTATTTTAAAGTTGCATCCATAAATGGACTAGTACTCATTCCTAGAGGCATTCCAAACATTTTTTAACCTAGTACTGGGTTTAGCCCTGTTGTTAGTGGCATTCCATAGCTAAATTACAAAGCAAGATAGTTTTAATAGAGTTCTTAAACTTCTTTAGTTGACATAATAACTACATCCTAATCTTGCTAAGAGGTGTTCTTTGGTTTTTCCCATTGAGATAAATTTCTATAAATTCATTATTTATTATGCCTTTTCATATTATACTTACCTTTACATATCGAAATAATAAGTTTTGCCATCAATACTTATACATTCCAAAAAAGTTCTTTTGCCTGGCTTTGTTGGAATCATTTGAAAAAAGTTCATGCCAAATTGCATTGCGTCTATGGGTGAGTGACCACTCATCATATTTATCATTTTCTATTGATATTCGATAGGGTTTATTAATTAGTTTGGTAAAGAGCTAGTTACAGTTGGATGAAGCATTGATTGATGTGAAGCCAATTAGTTTGTAGGGATTTGACTTATTCCAGCAAAGCTGGCAGTACTCTTGCTATTTTTATTGTTGCCCGAGCTATTAGAGCTCGAGGTAGGTTAGTTCATTGTGTGACTATTGAGAGATGCATTCATGTTTTATGGCATTATCATCATCATATTTAGCATCTACTACTAACTCAAAATATCTAGCTTTCCCATTATAGAGTTTGGGTCTTGGCTGTTGAAGCCTAGAAGTGAAGGTGGTATTAAACTCAGAGGAATGTTGTCTTTTCTCTTTTTATCTGCAAATCTTACCTCTAGGACTTGGTTTTCTTCAATAAATCCAGGAAATGATTTCAAGTATGGATCTTATTATGATTTCTAATTGAGCTTCAAAATTGATTTGATAGCCTACTTTCTCATTGAAAATTTAATGAAGCAGCTTCCTTTGAAAGATTCATCTGAATCTCTAAACATATAGAGTTCCTCAATATCCCCAAATATTGCGAACAATTTATTGATCTCATGTGTTTGTCTGTCTTTCGAAATGTGACAAATATAGAGTTTTGATTGCTCTGTTTTCTCAAGGTTTACTATTCCCAATCTTTCTAATTCACCATCTGCATATCTGACTTATAATTTGTTCATGATTTTATTAGACTTTTCATCAAAATAAGATGAATCATCGTCGCTACTACTAGAGTCATCACTATAACTACTACTACTCCTTGCACTTCTCTATGAATTTTCTCGTTTGATGGTTTTATCAATGGGTGACTTGCTTTTTCGGTTATTTCTATTATTTCTTCTATTGGATCTAGATCTCTATCTTGTCCTTGAAGCTTATTAGTCTTTTGATTTATTGCTATGCTTCTTAGAAACCTTATGCACTTTAAGGATGAACTCTGCTTCATGAAAGTTTACACATCTTAAAAAGGCACAACCCTTGTGACTGTTATCATTTTTATCTCTAATTATCTTAGCTTCAAGAATGCTACCCATTCTCTTGAAATAGCTCATGACTTTTGAGTCATCCCAAGTTTTAGGTACCTAGCCAACAAAAAGCCTAACATCTATTTTAGCTCCTTTTTTGCTAGCCTTTCTCAAAATTTCTTTCTCTTTAAGGGCATCCTCTGTATTTTCAAATTTTCTTATTGCCTCTTCATAGTTGACTGCTTCTTTAGACTAAGAAATAAGTTGACATAGCTATGTATAAGCTTGGGATGAATCAGAAGAAAATGGGCTATGCAGTTCTTTTCGATCGCTTGGGGAGTTGCTCTTAGATTACCTTTTTGTTTTGGTTCCCCTGTGATTATTTTTACTTCTTGATCTACTTCTATTTTCCCTTTTAACTTTATGAGTTCTCTGGCTTTTGCTAGTTGAAATTTCTCTATAATTCGAGTTTCATTTATTTTTATTGTCATTCCTATAGCTATTCCTAATAGGTGATTAGGATTTAGATCTTGTCCTAGATCTATAATTTTTTCTATTCTTACCACTATTTAAATTACTACCAGACTTTGTAACTCTCTCAGTATTTTTCTAATCCTTATGGCTAATATTATCTAATTTACTTTCTCTCTAATTGCTTTAACCATTTTGAGTTTTATTTCTTTTATCAAGAGACCTTGATCTTGATCGTTTATTTTTGTTAGCGTTATTCTTTTTTTTATCTCCTTAAGTTATTACAGTAGCCTTATTCTTTACTTAATTATCATTTTAAGGCATAACCTTCGTGTTATCCTCATTTCTCTTTTTATTCTATTAGTTGAAGTCATCTTCAAAATCTTTATAAACTTCATATTTCTTTGGACTTCATTTTGGTAGCTTATTTTGAAAATTGTCAGTAACCTTCCTTTCCTCAGCTTTTGAAATTTGCTTTTATTATTACTACTAGCTACTCTAAGAATTTCTTTCTTGATTATTACTTGGCTTAGTTGGACCTGCTATTACTTAATTATCTTTAACTATAGGGACCACGATATCTTTGATTATAGGGACTTCCTCCTCTTTGAGATTACTTTAGCTTAAATTGTCTTTCGACTCATAAGTGCTGTGAATATCCCTCTGACTTTTGTTATTCTCAACCCTCTTGTTATTACTTGAGGTGATCTTAATTATTCTTCTCTTTAGGTCTTCAATGCTGCTACTTTTGGTATTTTGACTACTCTGTGATGTGTAAGTTTAGGTGCTGCCTTGTTACGAGATTATAGTCAAGCTGCTTTTGAATTCATTGCCAGATTTTGTTTGAGAGTCCTAATAATTTTCTTTTCTGATGATTTTGACACTTTTGCCTGAGGGTGAGTAAATTTTGCTTTTAGGCTTTTCAGGTAATGGAGGGAGTATCATTTCATTAGCATTAGACTTAGTACTATCCTATAAATGAATACTACCTAAATTGTTATTATTTGATTATCTTCTATGTTTATTCATTCTTTTTCTTTATCAGCGGTTTATTTTTGGGGTTCTGTTTCCACTTCCGTTAATTCCATTTGAGGAGTTTTAAGGGATGTTTAAATTTGGAGTTTTAATCGAATTAGTAGTGTCTTTTTTGTAAGCTGAGTTTGAATGATCTTTGGATTTGTAACTACTTCCATTGGAGTAGCCATTATCTGACCTTTTGAAATCAACAGATGGGGTCTTTCTATAATTATTTGAAGTATGGACCACTTGATCTCTGTTATTTCTATTTCTTTGGTTTTCCATCCAAAAGAATTTAATTATTATAGAAAAAGCAAAAGATATTAAGATCTATTTAATATTCATTTCAAATTTATAACTTATGTGAAATCGTGGGGTTTTGGGGTTTTGGGGGGATCGGAAGAGCACACGTCTGAACTCC